TGTTTTATAAAGATCAACCGTATTCAGAAAGAATAAGACGGTTTCATTTCTCCTGTCCTGTGGCGAACATAATGTCTTCAACTCCATTTGAGTTCAGTGCATTTAACCCATAAAAGCATTATGCAAAACACAAAAACAGTTGCTGCAAATTGGAACGTACTCCTGGAATTGCAGAGAGAAAATAAAGTTATCAATTCGTGAACAGGGAAAAAGAACACTCATTCACGCAACAAATGGCGATCTCACACTTTGAGATGACGTCAGCAAAAGGGCTGCATCATGCAGTTTCAGGAGAAAAAGAAGATGTCGGTATTTTTGGTCAGTCCAAATCGATTCGATTCAACCAGGAATCTTGTTTCCGGAAGTGCACGAACAATGAATGTTTAGTCGTTGTTTAGTCACTTATAGCCTCCGGGATGTATTATTTAAGTCCCATTATTTTTTCTTAACGTAATTGATGCTTCCTTGACCTTCCTCGGTTTCAGGAGATTTTCCCTGTCGCTTACTGGATCGTTTGCCTTTCCTGATCTGCAAATATTTTGAGCATGACAGTTATCTCACTATGTTTGTAGAGCGCTTTATGGTAGATAATGGGATTACTTTTGTGGGGAAAAAATGAAAAAAGTAACATGCATTCGTTTTCACTAACAATGGAAGCAAGCATCAAATTATCGGCCATTACAGAGAGCGAGAGAAACAGCTTAGTATAGTTTTGGGTGCGATTGTCTGGCTTCAAAATCTTAAGACAGCGTAATGATATTCCCATTCATTTATTTTTGATCATCCCTAAGTGTATTCTGTTTTAGTGGCAAAATCTTTAGCAGGTAATGGTTTATCCATCATGATTTCAGTAGTCCTCATCAAGTTGATGAATAATTGGCAATCAAGCCAGTCCATCGAGAGCTAACTTTGAAGCTGCTTGCTATTTAACACAACATTTATAGAAAACGTTCGTCGAGCTATATTTTTGGCACATGAATGCAATCTGTTGTTTGGTGAATGGTAAACATCCTCGAAGATACTCCTCATTCTCTATTCTAGAAGATTTTCAGTCGCAAATCCCAGTTCAAAATGTAATTACCGGATTAAACAAAAGGATAATCCAAATATTCATCGTCTAAAACGATTTTGCTTTAGTTCTTACGTAGCATCCAACGCATCTTGTTGAGTGTCGTTTGACTCAGCACAAAGTAGATGCAACTATACATCTCGCGACCATAGTTCCTTAAATTTCTAGCGACTCATGTTTTCGCTGTATCTCCACCTTCGGGTGAAGCTCAGTTATCATATTGGGGTACTATAAAAATAGTCGAGTAACATTTCAAAAACAAAATTCCTTCTTCTTGGTTCATATTCGCAGAAAACTACAATTCTGACAGTAAAACAATGTCGTTACAACTAATCACACCTTTCATGATAATTTCAAAATTAGGTATTACAGAACGACCATTTTACTCCCAAATATTGACAAATCTTTCGGAGAAGAACGGACAACCATTGATGTTTCGGGGCACCCCCCTCCCCGATTCAATCTTCAGTTCATAAGTTTACACATTGTAATGCGGCCTTTGGGTTCGAGCGATCCAAATTTTCTTCAATGTCTGCCGATGTGAGCTACTAATAATAATTCTGTGATTAAAATACAGCTCTCCTTTCCTCTGTCACCAGAACAATGATTTTGTATGTTTTCCTTCTGTGTAAAGTAAGTTTCGGTTTACTATTGGATGGTCTGGGAATACTGCTTTTCTTGTTGATGCTTCGTACTTCCTTCAAGGTTTATTATATTGTTCAATTTAAAGT